CTGTCCTGGGCGCCTCGTAGCAGCGTCTTGACCCCCCCGGGGGATCCGGCGCATCCGGCCGGACCCCCCCCCCCTCCAAAACGACCGGACCGGGCTCCTGGGGGAGGGGTTTGGGGAGGGGGAAGCATCTCACACGCCCATGACCCCAAGGGGTCGGCGGATTCACGACGAATGAGTTCGCCGCGAAGTCGGGCCCGAGCTTCTGCTGCGACTGCATGGAGAATTTGAAGGGGGCAGGAGAAAAGTGGTGCACGACTTGTGAGCAATGGGCTGAGATGGCGTCCACAGTGGCGGGAGGGGGGGTCGAAAGGAATAGAGTGTTCGTGCGGACAAGCAAATGCGACCGGTGCGCAGGGCCCGCCGCCGCACGGAAGTCACGGAAGACATCGGAGGCGTGGCGGGGGCAGGTGCAGGAGAAGTTTAAGATTCGATGCGGTGAATGCCTGGAATTCCTGAAAACGGAGGCAGAAATTGCGGCGAACCAGTATGCGACGAAAAGCGCGGGAGAGAAGCTCTGCAAGAAGTGCGCGGGGAAAAGAAAAGGCGGGTGGAACAAGTGGAGCAAATCGCAGAAGGAAAGAGAGTGCGAGAACGAGATGAACGCTGCGCGACGAGCTGCGCGCCAACAGAAGCCGCTGAAATGTTCTGCGTGTCCGTCAGAAGCGGATGGAACAGGGGGGACGTTCACAGACACACGACATTTGACGCCGGATCAACTGCAGAAGTACTACAAAACGGGCGCAGGCCATAGACCAGTGATGTGCCGATCATGCCAGGAGGAGCACGAGAAGTCGCGGGTGCTACGGTGCTCCGCATGCCCGAAGGGGGCGGATGGAAAGGGACCCGAAATCATGGACACACGCCATTTGACGGTGAGTCAGAAAAGGCATTATTGGGACACGGGCACGGCGCATCGCCCTGTCATGTGCCACGCGTGCCTGGAAAAGTCGGAGGCCCAGGTTTTCCGTTGTGGGGCATGCCCGAAGGGGGCGGATGGGAAGGCGCCCGCGTTTACAGACGTGAGCCATTTATCGGACAGTCAGAAAGAACATTACAGGAGAACGGGCCAAACGCATCGCCCGGTCATGTGCCGCGCGTGCCACGAAAAATCGGAGGCCCAGATTTTCCGTTGTGGAGCATGCCCGACGGGGGCGGATGGGAAGGCGCCCGCGTTCACAGACTTGAGCCATTTGTCCGATAACCAGAAAGTACATTATAGGAAGACGGGCCAGGCGCATCGCCCAGTCGTGTGCCGCGCGTGTCACGATGCGCGCACGGGGGCGAAAAAGTTTGAATGCTCCGCGTGCCCACCGAACGGGGACGGGAAGAAACCAGCGTTTTCAGACGGGGGCCATTTGTCGAAAGACCAGAAGAAGAATTATTTCAAGCGAAACAACCCAGTTGTGTGCGCGAAGTGTTTTAAAGCGGGACGAGCGCCGCGGAGAGACCCTCCGAAACGCCCGGCGGAACCAAGTGACGAGCATTGCGACAAGGCACGGAAGTTGCGAGGAATCTGACCGCTGGGGACGGGATGGATAAGGGGGACGTGGAGGAGGGAGGATGGGGGAGCAGCCAAAGGCGGAGAAGGTGAAAAGTGAGCCAGTGGAGGGAATACGAGACAGAAAGCTGAGAGGGGAGACGGGAGGAGGGGGCGGAAGAGGAGGATGAGAAGGAGCAGGAGAACACGACGAGGACGACAATGGCGGCGACAGACTCGACGGCGTAGGCTGGGCACCTTTTTGGGGCCATCTTGGGGGCTTCGTTGACCGTTGTGGGAGCCTCTGGCGCCGTCGTCGTGAGAATCCTCTCGGGGGCCTGCGGGAGGCAGTTTGGAGGCTTCTGGGGAGCTGTTTTGGGGCAGCTTGGGGCTTTTTTTGGGCTTGTTGGGGGCCTCTTGGGGGCTTCTTGGAGCCTCTTGGAGGCCTCTTGGGGCCTCCTTGGCGCCTTTTGGGGCGGAAGGCTAGAATTTTAGGTTCGTGGTCCCCGTCTGGAGCCTTTCTTGGGCCCCTCTGTGGGCCCTCTTGGACTGTCTGAAGGCCCTCTTGAGCCGTTTTGAGGCGCTCTTGGGCCGTGTTGGGGCCCACTTGGGAGCCTCTCGGGTCGTCTTGATGCCGTCTTGGGGGCTTCTTTCGCCGTCTTGGAGCGTCGGAAGCCCGAAAAAACGCGAAGGCCAAAAACGTTGAAAAAACCAATGGAAATCGACGATTTTGGCCTCTTGGGGCCATCTTGGGAGGCGTCTTGGAAGCTTCTTGGGGCGTCTTGGAGGCATCTGGGGCCATCTGGAGGCCATCTTGACCGTCTTCGAGTGTTTTTTCGGCGACTCGGGGCCCTCTTGGACCGTCTGCAGAGCTTCTTGGGAGCCTCTTCGCTCGTTTGCGGCCCCCCCAGCAGACTCTCTGGAGCGGATGACCCCCCCCGGACCGCGCCGGCGGATCCCGGGGAATCCGGCCGGACCCCCCCCCCCCCCTCCAAAACGACCGGACCAGGCTCCGGGGGGAGGGGTTTGGGGAGGGGGGAAGCATCTCACACGCCGATGACCCCAAGGGGTCGGCGGATTGTTTGACAACGTCGATCCCCCAGAGGTCTCGACCGCTTCCCCAGGACCGGTTTTTCATCCTGAGTCGTGTTTTGACGGTCCCGAGGCCCGGTAAGGGCCCCCGAGGCCGAAAGTAGCGAAAAAATTCCCGTCGTGATTTTGTTCACGACGCGAGGAGATTTAGGTCGTCGAACTGGCCGGCTCCCTTCTCGTAGTGTAAGTCCTGGCGGCCTGGCGGAGAGCCAGTGGCAGCGCACCAAGCCGGAAGTGGCGCCGTCGAGGCCGAGCGCGGTGCGCCGGAGTTCGTGGGCGCCCCCTGCCTGCGGGGGCGCCACGACGTGCTGCTGCCGCTTCGCCATGGCGGGCTTGCAGCTCCGTCTGGAGCACTGCCCGCGGCGCGTGATTTCCGCGCGACGTCATGCGGTGCAAGGCTCTCCGCTGGGTGCGTCCCGGTTGGAAGGCGTGTGCTGCGAGGCCTTTGCGTCATCAGCTCGAGAGCCCGATATGTGACGTTACGTTGATGATGTCGATGCCGATGCTGAAGATGGTGATGCTGATGATGGGGGTGGTGGTGGTGGTGATGTTGATGCTTATGATGATGATGCTGACGAGGACGAGGACGAGGACGAGGAGGAGAAGAGGAGGAGGATGCTGAAGCGAAGGGAGACGAGGAAGGCCGTCACATGTGACACCTTTCGTCTTCACTATGGCGAAGGCCTTACGGCCAGTGCCGCCGACTTTGAAGGGGGACGACGACGACGACGATGACGGCGACGACGTGGGTCAGAGTCCTCAGGGATTCTGTTTGGGGTCTCTTCGGAGCGCTCTCGGAGGCCTCTGGGGGTCAGTTTTGGGGGGCCCTTGGGAGCATCTTGGAGACCTCTTGGGAGCCTCTCGGGAGCCTCGTGGGAGCCTCTTGGGGCTTCCTGGGTGCCTCTTGGGGGCCTCTTGGAGCCTCGGGGGCCTCTCGGGAGCCTCTTGGAGCCTTCTGGGAGCCTCTCGGGGCCGATGACTCGAAATGTCCGTTTGGTTCCCCTGTCTGGGCACCCTCTTGGAGCCCTCTTGGGGGCCTCTTGGGCCGTCTTGCAGGCGTCTTGGGCCATCTTCGGCCCGTTCCCAGACCCTCTTGGATGCCTCTTGGGGTGATCGTTGGAGCCTCTTGGGCCGTTTTGGAGCAAAGGCGAGAACGCCCAAATCCGTGAACAACTCAAGGACAATCAATGAATGTTGCCTCTCGGGGCTCTCTTGGGGAGTCTTCCAGCACTCTTGGGCCGTCTGGAGGCCGTAAAGACGTCTTGGACCGATCGTTCGGCGACTCGGTGCCCTCATGCAACATCTTGGGGGTCTCTTGGGACACTCTAGGCTCGTCTTGGGACTTTTTGGGACCCCGGGCCCCCCCGGGGAGGGGGGGTGGTATTCTGACATGGGAACCCCCCGCGACCCCCCTGGGACCCCCCCAGGACTCCCCCTTTTGCCTTGGCGGGGAAGGGATCAAAGGGACAGAGCTTCCCTTCGACTCAATTACGACGTTGCTCGATTTCGTTTTGGCTGGCGCGCTTGAGGAGGAGGGCCCAGGAAAAGGGGAGGGCGGCGACGGGCCCAGGGAAAGAGAGGGAGCGGCGACGGCGACGACGACGACGACGTCGACGAAGACGAGTCAAACAGAACAGCCTCTTCCACACGCCGACAGGGTCGACGGATTTGAGGAGCGCTCTTGGAACTCGTTTTGGCCGCCTTGGGGCTGTCTTGGCCTCCTGTGAGGCAGTCCTGGGGGTCCCTTGAGGCCGTTTTGGGGCCCTCAGGGCGTCTTGAATTGAAGCTCTCTTGGGCCGTCTTTGTTTGGCGTTCTAGTGGGTGTTTGGGAGCCGCCGTGGGTCCGTCTTGGAAAGTCGAAGGGCCGTCTTGGGTCCCAGGGGAGTGCACTCTGGGCCGTCTTGAGTGCCTCTTTGGCCCTCGCGGGGTTCTCTTGGGCGATTTTTGGACCCTCGTTGGGAGTTTCTGGGGCCGGCTTGGGGCCATATTGGAAGCTTCGTGGGCCGTCTTGAGCTGACGGAAGCCCGAAAATGCGCGAAAGCGGAATCCGTCAATGTCCACCTGGGAATCAATGATTTTGGCTTCTTTGCACCCTGTCGGGCGTCCTCTTGTGGCCCTATTGGGTTGTCAGGTAGGCATCTTGGGCAGTCTTGAGGCCATGGGACGCATTGGGTCATCTTGGCCCGTCTTGCGAGGCATCTTGGGCCATCCTGGTTGCCTTGGTTGCCTACCTGGGCAGTCTTAGAAGCTCAGGGCGCGGACACAGAGAGAGTGTTTTTTTTTGCTAGGGGCCGTGGCCACCGGAGACAACGGACAAGTACAGGGCAGCACTCGTTACTCTAGCACGCCCGCATCGTGCAGGCACGGTGGCAGACTCCCTCCTCCGCCCCATTTGGGAGAAATGGGGGGCCGTCTCCCGTCCCGGCCGCAGGACGGAGTACACCCAGCAGGACGTGCTCGAGTTCCCAGATTTTCTCGTCTTCGCCCGCCTCGTGCGGGAGTCGGGGAGGCCAATCAACGGCCAGGCGGCTCAATCTTCACCCTCCTCGTCGTTGTGGTCATCCTCGTGGCCGACGTCGTCGTGGCCGTGGTTGCTGCCATCGCCTCCGTCGCCGTCGTGGTCACCGAGGACGTTGTCCTCCTTCGCTTGGCATCGCTCGGACGTGTGCGTTTTACGCGGCCCGGAGGAGCTCGAGCAGGTCACGCTGGCCTCGGAGTTCAGGAAGTGCGACAGGACCTCGCGCCCTTGACCCGGCTGGCCCTGGGATGTGTTTCTCCGGAGGCCCCCCCCTGCTCGACTGCACGTGAGAGGGACCTGCCGCTGGAGTGACCTTCGGTGCGGGCCCAGTGACAGTGCGGTCCCCCGATCGCCGAGCGCAACGCGACAGTGCGACAGCGGCGTCTTGCGCGCTCGTGTTTGGGCCCCCCGCGGCCCTCAAAAAGCCCGCGCACCAGATGTCACTCTTGCCCGGGGTCGCTCCCGCATGTAGCCGACCTCCAGAGGCCGTCGGAGGCCTCTGGGTGCCTCGCGCGAGGCGCGCAGGGGAAACGACGACATGAGCACGGACTTTCGGGGGTCCGCGCGGATGTATTGGATCGGCGCTGGATAATTGCCCTGGTGGTGCCCAGGAGAAGCCAGCAAACGCTCAGAGCGACCCCCTCCCAGGCTAGTCTGCGTACGCACGCGTAGCATGTGCTTTTGTCCTTGCCTGCCCCTCCTGTTCTCCTCCTCCTCCTCCCCTGGTGGCGGGAACTTGCGAACCTCCTGTGGCCTGGGTAAGCAGTCGATTCGAACTAGACTCGCCTGGGTCCCTGATGAGGTACTTCTCAAACTTGAAGTGGTCCTCCTGGTAGTTCGCCGAGCCCATGGCTGCTACCACCGACTGCTTCGCGAACTCGTTGCTCTTCTGGAAGCCTCCTGCTGCCGCCGCCGTGGACCCCCCGAGATCTTGGAGAAGCCCCAGCCCTGGCACGAGCTCGATGACGAACTCGAAGTTGGCCTTGTACCCCACCAACACCTTGTCCACCCGCTCGCCAAGCTCCGTCGAGAGCAGCTCGGACGGGATGATCACCTTCAGCATCAGCGCCTGCTGCTGCCGCTCTGCAGGCTCGCGGCCTCTCGGAGCCGACCTGAAGGCATCGCCGCGGCTCGGTGGAGCTGCGCCCCTTCCAAGTGCGCTTCCCGCGAAGGTCCCCCCCGCGAGACCTGGAAAAGGGCCAGGTGGAGGAGGCGGCGGAGGAGGATTCGGAGGAGAAGGAGGACGACGGTGACGACGACGACGCCGCCGACGACGACGACGACGGCAATTTCGACGATGACGACGAGGCCGAAGACATGGCCGAGCAGGCGGACGGGGCTCACAGTAGCGTTCCCCCTTCACAGCTTCTGCGGCGCCCGATCTGCGCTCGCCGTTTGCGCTGCGTGTCTGGCCGCGCTCGGTCGGCGGAGCTGCGGCATGCCACCTCGAAGGTTTTTCTGGGGATTGCCAGATGGTGAAGGGTACAGCCGATGCGGTGTAATCAGGACCACTTTGGGTTGATGCGGGGCTCTGGTGTTCGGGCGGTTCCCTAGATCCAGGTCGGAGAACCTATCCGTGGGCGAGGCTCGCCTGAAAAGCCTCATGTTTCCTTTCTCTGCGTTACCTCTGACAGCACGACGACTGCACTGCACAAGCCAACACAGACAACGATGCGAGGTGCCGAGCACCATCGGGCCCCCTCCAGGTGCTCAAGCAGTCGCCCACTCCCTCTCCGAAGCACCACACCGAAGCACCGTCTCGCAGTGCGCTCGTCGGGGGGCAGCTTCTCGGACCCGCAGGAAAGCAGGACAGCGGCGCGCGTCGGAGGACGCGCAATGGGGGTGCGATAAAAGGAGGGGGGGGGGGCCGCGAGGGATGCAGAGAGGGGCCATCTGGGGCCCCTGGAAGGGACCGCCCTTGAGGGCCCAGGAGGGGCCCTTGGGGGCCCGAGGAAGGGCACACCGCTCTCGCCCCCCCCCCATCGATCGCCCCCTCAATCATGCGCGCCCAAGCGCGGCGATACCCATCGGTCGTTGAAAGTAGGTATTTTTGGATTCCCAGATTCTAATATACTTTCAGCGCCTTCCTACTTCAAGAGTCGAGTGGTTTTCCCTCTTCCTTCCTCTTCAGGAGGCGTGCGGAAGCCCAATCTATTTCCAACGCCGTCCTACTTCATGTTTCTACCTACTTCTTCCGACCGATGGGTACTGGCCCCAGGTGTGGTCGAGGGCATCGGGGCTTCAGTGGTGACTGAGCACGACGCCGTCTGGGTTCCAGGGGCGGGGTGCTTGCCCTGTCGGCCGCCCGTGTTCCAGGGTTTCGAGCAGGAGATCGGCTACGGAACGGATTGACCACAGAATGTTGTTTCGCCGAACCTGCGAAACATTGTTAGAATGCTCGTAGACCTACGTACGGAGATTGTGCGTTTTTGTTTGCAGGTTCTACGGACTTAGTCTTTTGCGTAAGAGAGAATCAGAGGAGATGGGAAGCAGGCAGGCAGGCAGCATGCTCCAAATTCCTGGCTCCGACCACCAGGCCAGCACTGCACCTTGGGAGGGAGCGAGTGGGATGCAGCTCCCCGCTGGGAGGAACGGAGACGGCATCATTTCCGTCGACGAGTTGGGGACCATGTTGGCTAACATGGGCTTCGAGCCTCTCGCGAAGCCCATCGCGGACATCATGGAGGACGACCGCCTCCTTGACCGTGATGCCGCCAGGGGGCGGGGGGAGAAGGTGTGTGTGTGTGTGTGTGTGTTGTATGTGTGCGTGTGTGTGTGTGTGTTGTGTGTTGTGTGTTGTGTGTGTGTGTGTTTGTGTTTGTGTGTGCGTGTGCGTGTGCGTGTGCGTGTGCGTGTGCGTGTGCATGTGAATGTGCGTGTGCGTGTGACGCGCACGAGAAGGAGTGAGGAAGGAGGAGAAGCAGGGACGTCCCTTTCTCCCTGCTACCTTTTTGGGCAAGAGGCTGCACTGCTGCCGAGCCGACCGGCCAGCAGGAGCGTCCACGAGAGAGAGAGAGACCCACGGAGGTCTCGAGGGGATCCTTCCCTCCCACTCTTCCTTTTTCACCATCGGGGTCCTCGAGGCGATCCACGAAGGTCTCGAGGAGATCTTTTCCTCCCACTCCCCTCTTTCACCATCGGGGTCCTCGAGGGGATCCACGAAGGTCTCGAGGGGATATCTTACGGAAGTTCACAGCCTTTGTCCCCCGCCCACCGCGAGGGCGAGTCGCGAGATCTGCGAGGGGATCGCTCCCCGTCCCTCCCCTCCCGTTCTATCGCGACGCCGCTTCCCGGCCCATCTCTTTGCCACCCCTCTCAGCGGCACCGTAACGGGTAATCATTCATTAACAGGTATTTTAGACAGTTGCAGAAAGTTGGCATTTTAGGGCCTCTTTCTGGAAATTGCAGCATTGCCCACATCGGGGAGGGTTGGGGTCGCCGGGTCATTGGCCAAAGTACCCGTCGGTGGAGTCCCCGTGAGAGGGTCGCTGACTCTGACCCAAATTTCTGCTCCTTGTTCCATCGGTTAAAGATGACCGCGGGACCCCGCGAGCGGGCCCCCCGCTGACGCCACAGCGGTGCACGTTGGTCGCTGAAAGTAGGCATTTGCAGACTCCCCGATCCCAATCTTCAGCGAGCGAAGAACGGTATAAAATAAACTTTCCGCCGTCGGAGACACCTGCCCCTGGGCGGCTGGAAAGTTTATACCCCTACGGTGCCACCGTAAGGGTATAAACTTTCCAGCCGCTTTGGGACAGGCGCCCCCGACAGCGAAACATTTTATTTTACACCGTTCTTCGCCCGTTAAAATCTGCTTCAAGCGCCTTCCTACTTCAAGGGCCGACATGCTTTTGCTGCGTTGTCTGATTATCTGGCAGGGCCCGGCCTGGACCCCATCTACTGGAGCCGCACTCCTGCTTCAGGTTTTGACCTACTTCTCTCGACCGACGTGCAGGGGGCATGGACGAACGTCTGCCGCAGCCTGCGGAGCTCAACACAGCATCATCTCACTCAGCTCTGCGGGCCCTTCGCCCCTGGACTTCAGGGGGCCAGGGCCTCGGGGCGCCGCTCGGCACGGCAGCGAGCAGCCGCCTCACGCGGGTCGACGATGCCGTTCCGTTGCGCCGCGCCCTCAGAAATTTGCAGACGACCCTGCGCCTCGTTGGCAAGAGAAATGGCAGGCCGCACGCGCGACCGCCACAGCCGAGCCCAGCCGCGGCGACGAGGAGCCGAGACCAGGGCGAGAACGAGAGACCACACACCAGACGGTTGCGCCGCGCCCTCTGGGCGCGCCCCGGCTCCAGGAGTCGTCCGCGCGGTACGTGGACGGCGAGCTGGTGCTGGACCAGTTCGAGTTCTTCAACTTCATCGAGGCGGCGGGGCGCCCTCTGCTGCGTCCTGCCTCAGATCATTGAGAGCAACAGTCGGGGAAACTTAAGACTCGAGTAAGCCGGAACTCGGGTTTGCCGACTTTTTTTGACGAGCGTGCCCTGGATTTTGACGGTCCCGTTTTCGTGGGATGTCTGCAGCGGGAGCTCGCGTCAAATTTCAGATTGGGACTCGTCATTTTTATGGCGGCCCCCGTCAGGCCAACCCGAGTCCCCCGCACCCGAGTCTTACGTCTCCCCGAAACAGGACCCCTCACCCCGATAACACGACGAAGACGTGGCCTCACTGAGGTCCCCGTCTTCACGTTCGGGATGGTACATCTGCGCGGTTGGGCCTGGCATATCTGCAGAGAAGGCCCCCTATCCCTGATGTTTCTCACCACCCACCAAACCACCCCAACCCAACCCGAAGGCTCAGATTTGCCCTCGATTTCTAGTGGGGGGGGGTCGGGAAGCATAGAAAAAACACATGTGGAACCCTTACCCCCCCCAACCCGAAATTCGGGTCTTCGGGTTGGGTTGGGGTGGTCTGGTAGGTAGTCAGTTTCTGGCCCTCTCAACTTCGGTTCCCTCCAGAAGGGCTAGGGGTCCGCTCTTCTGTGAATCCTCAGAGCAGGGCCGGCGACCTGCTGGAGTCCAGGGGGCCTGCCTCGTGGCCTGCGTCGGCGGGGCCGGACGGCGGAGGCGACGCGGGCGTCCCCCTGCCGCCTGCTGCCACGACGGCAGCGGGGCCTGCCAGGGCCGCCCACGATTCGAGGCGATGCGATTCGCCAGCTGGGGCCGCGCCGCGGTCCCGCTTCGATTCGGTTCGGTCCGTCTCACCAGCATCGGCCGGTGCCAGCTGGAGCCTGGCGCGGCGATCCAGGTTCGATCCGATGCGGGACGAGTCGCTGGCGATCCGACCAGTTTCCGATGCGATTCGTTGTTTAGGTTGGTCAGGGCATGTGGTTTGTTGCTCGTTTCGTTGTTCGCGATTGTCTCGTTCCGGTGTTCGCTCTTGCGCTGCTCTCCCCGTATCGTCGTTTCGTCTTGTTTGGCATTGATGTTGTTCTAAACGTGTGTATCTCACGTTGGGTGTCATTCTGTTGTGCATTTTGGACACCATTCTGCTTTAGACATCGTGGTAGTGGGTCTTTGGAGGACTGGGAAGGACAGGGCTCCCTGCCCCTGCTCGGAGCTGACCCGGCCGTCTGCTTCTGTAGCTTGTCCTGCGGCTGGGTTGAGAGTTTCTCTTTGCCCACGCAGTTGTTTGAGATTTCACCTTGGCGCCGTGTAAGTGATTGTCACAGTAGGTGCGCTGACGATGCTGATGATAAGGATGAGGATGATCATGCTGCTGCCGATGATGATGATGCTGAGAAGGATGGTGATGATGGTGATGATTAGGATGACGATGATGATGATGCTGACTGTGATGATGATGGTGGTGATGGTGGTGGTGATGATGATAGTGATGTTGATGATGATGACGATGACAATGATGACGATGACGATGACGATGATGATGACGATAATGATGACGATGATGATGATACTGATAATAATGGTGCTGGTGCTGGTGCTGGTGCCACTGATGATGGTGATGGTGATAGTGATGGTGATGGTCGTGGTGATGGTGGTGGTGATGATACTGATGCTAGCGATGATGATACTGCTGGTGGTGGTGATGGTAATGATGATGATGATCGTGATGCTGATAATGGTTCTGATGATGGTGATCATAATGGTGGTGGTGCTGATGGTAATCGGTGACGACAATGATGATGCTGATGATGTTGGCGATGATGAGGATGACTAGTTATGGTGAGGATGCTGATGATGAGAAGGATATGAATGATAGAGCTGATCATGATGGCTATGCTGATGATGCTGATGGTGACGGTGATTGTGATGGTGAGGACGCTACTGCCGATGATGATGATGATGATGATGATGCTGATGATGATGATGATGATGATGATGATGATGATGATGATGATGATGATGGTAATGATGGTAATGATGATGTTGATGATGATGACGATGATGATGATGATGATAACGATGATGATGATGTTTATGATGACGACAACTATGATGGCGCGGGCGACGAAGGCAATGATGACGACCATGCGCATTCAGGAGGAGGATTCCAGCAGCGTCGCGAGAAATGGTTCCCTGAGGCGCTCGCAGGTTTTCACGGCCGAGTCTCGTTACCGATTTCCCCAAACATTTATCATGTGAAACCCCAGTGTCGGGCTCTGCCATGGTTCTGGCGAAGTCCCCCGATTCGTATTGAGCCGCTCGTGTTAGACAGACAAGTGCGGTTGGTTGCTCGGCGCTGGATTTCGGCGGAACCCGGAAGTGTTTTGTTCTTAGAACATTTTGGGGTTCTAAGAGCATGTCGTGGTAGGCTCACAGGAATGCCAGGACGGTCGGTCCCTGCTCAAAGAATGTACAGATACCGCTACCCTTCCCTCGTTTGCCCCCTTCTTGGGCTTCCTGGGAGGCCCTCGTCGCAACCCTTGGATTCGCCTCGAGAGCCTGGTCAGAACTCACCCCTGGATAGGTCCGGGGAGTAGCGGTATCGGTACCTTTTGGCCTCCCCAGATAGTAAGGATGAGCAATGTTCCGAACGTCTGGCCGTTATGTTGCCGCCTCGTCGCCGCCCCGTCGCCGCCTCGTCGCCGCCGGTCATCTTGGCCTGTCTGTCGGTCGGCGCGCTTGTTGCCGCAGTCGCCACCCTGGCGCCGCCCCACATAGACTGCACAGCATAGATTGCACGACATAGATTTCACCACATACAGTCGGAACCGATAGTAAGGATGATCGACATCCCAAGGGAGCCCTTGCATCCTGGCATCTTCGGTCATCTTCGGTCCGTCCTCAAATACTTTCGATGGCCAGCCCTGCTCGAAGGGCTTCGTCATGGGCGTCCAAGGCCCTTTCATCCTTGTCGTGCATCCGTACGCTCATTTTTGATTATACTACACGCTGTCCCTCACCTTGGGAATAGCTTCCGCAGAAGCCCTGGCAGGAGGGCGGCTCGCACAGAAGGGGCCCTCGCGGGGGGATCGCCCCGCAGGGCCAGCGTGCTCTTCGGAAATCGACGCTGCACGCCACCTTTCCAACGCCAACAGTCGGTGGAGGCGGAGTGCCGCGTCGGACCGACGCCCCATGGCGATGCGGCCCGACGTGGAGCCCGATGTTCTCCACGCCGATGGTGCCGATGCTTCGCCATGCGTCGCCGATGCGTCGCCGATGCATCGGCCGTGCGCCCGCGAGGCGGAGAAGTCCTCTGGCTGAACGAGCACGTTCGGTGGGCGCTCGGAAGAGGGGGGGTCCGGAACCAGGCCCCCCCCCCCACCCTCCTTTGGCATCGCTCGGACGTGTGCTTTTTTTCCTCGGCGAGGACCATCGAGGAGCATCCTTGATCATTTCGCGAAAAAAACCACGCACGAAACCGAAAAAAACACAGGAAATGGACGTCCGAGCGATGGAGAGCTCCCCCCCTGGCTCAAGGGGGGGGGGGGTTCGAACCCCTCTCCCCCGGGCCTGCGCCCGCGCTGGCGGCGGCCCCCCTTCCCCTCCCGGGCCGGCGCTGGCGGCACCAGCGGTTGTGGGCGGCGGCGGGGAGCGTCGACGAGGACGGCGAGTCGTGGTGCAATCTGTGTTATGTTATGTTGCGCAGCACACGTTGAGCAAAATCTACGTGCTGCAACCACTGGGGCGCAATCCATGTGGTGCCACCTGTCACAGGTGGCACCACATGCTCGTTTCGAATCCTCCGATTCGATTCGATTCGACGCCGATGGATTCCGATTCCGATTCGATTCGATTTCGGATTCCGATTTGGGCTCCGATTTCTTATTGGACGCATACTAGCCTGCCGATTTCCGCCGATCCGACTTTTCCCGACTCGGCTGCCGATTTCTGCCGATCCGACTTATTTCGATCGCCGATCCGACTTATCGATTCGATTCGGCGGCGTCGGTGGCGCCGAATGCGCCTCGGCGTACAGCACGGTGCCGACCGTGCCGGCCGCGGCCAGCAGGAGCAGCAGGTCGCACCACGAGGGCCCGGGCGGTTCCTCCTCCCGAGTGGGCGGGGGGGCGCGGGCGGCGACGGGCGGGCGGGCACCTTGCAGCGTCGTGGATGCACCTTGCCTTCCCTCTTGTCCTCCTCCTCCTCCTCCTCCTCCTCCTCCTCCTCCTCCTCCTCCTCCTCCTCCTCTTTCTCAAGCCATCCCGGCTCAGACCATTTTGCCCTGAGCCAGCCCTCGCCTCCCCGTGGCGTTTGAGGGACACCTGGCGGGGCAGAGGAAGGCGCCTTCGCTTCCCCAGGTTGACTAAGGAGGGCAGATCACCTTCTTTCCTGAGCCATGGTTAAAAAGAAGTCGAGTGTTAGAGCGGCTCCCTCGCCCGAGACCACAGAGCCACCCGAGTCTGGATGGTCCACATGTCAGCATTGTGGTCGGCAGGAGTGGAAACGCATTTTATGGAAGCAACAATGCCGTTGTCCGAAGTGCCAGACTGTAGTCACGCTGCATCGGCCCAAGGCATCCAGAGGAGCCCAGATGGACGGTACGGCGAACGGCAACAAGTTGGCGCTAGCACCCTCCCCTCCAAGCACGAGATCGGGAATTTCGAGTACACCGCTGTCAGCTTATAAGCAGGCGCTGAGTGTCACCACCGATCCCGCGATGAAGGCGATCCTTGAGGCACACATCGGCCAACTGAAAGACGAAGAGATCTCACCCGAGAAGTGCATCACGCCTGAGGAGTCCCTCAGGCGGGCCACTGCCGCGGTGCGAGACGCAGCCACCAAGCATGATCAAGCAGTTTCAGCACTTCTTCGGGCACGCGAGGTTCTTGAGAAGGCGTGAAGCTACGGCGGCCCTCACCCTCGCCAAGGCGGAGAAGTCCAAGCTTCAGGCCGTGAGGGCCCTCGCCGAGCTGAACGGAGTGGTCGCGAAGACTGCCAAGGACAGCCACGGCATCGACGGGAACGACAGCAAGAAGCTCATCTCCATCTCGTGGGACGAGGACTTCTTCAGCACGCTCGACAAGCTCGAGGTCAGCGAGACCGAACGGGCGGATCTCAAGCAGCTGGAGACCGACTTGAAGGGCGTTCGCGACCTGGTCGGCACCAAGTCCTCCGAGGTGGAGCGCATGCTCGCGCGCATGGCGAAGATGAAGGAAGACATCATGGTTCGCATGGCCAAGAAGAGGAAGGGCCCCGACGGCGTGGCCACGGGCAGCCCCGACGGCGGCGGCAGCAGCGGCGAGCCTGGCGGAGCCCGTGTGGGCGACGACGGGCGCACGGCGGCGGAGACCACGCCGGTCCGCGACGACCAGGCCGACGCCGAGCTCGCCGAGGAGGCGCGGCGGCTGAGCGAAGCCAAGCTCGCCGCCGCCCAGGCCGCTCAGGGCGCAGGCCTGAGCGACAAGTGACCTACAAGACGAGGCCCCTCGAGCACGCAGTCAGCTGGGGCATCGACTGCATCGAGATCGGCCTCGACGGGGATTGAGCAGCCTTCGAGTGGTGAGACGCAGATTTTTTTGGCTAATGTCACTCAGCTCAGCAAGAAATCGTGGGGGTTTCTCACCAGTAGTAGGGCTGCCAATTATCACCTTTTTGCTTTAGTGGAGACCCACATCGGGTCCAGTGAAGACGTTTCTCGGTGGAAGTCTGAGGCCTCGAAGGCCAAGTTCAAATGTTTCTTGAACCCTGCCCGCGGCGCGGAAAACAGCACGACCCAGTCGGGTCAGTCTCGCGCCAACGAAGGGGGTGAGTGCATCCTTGCCAGGAAGCACCTACCAGTCCCATTCACTTGCTCAGACCAACGGGGCTTGGAAGGACCTTGCAGTCGACGGTTCCGCCAGCCTCGATGGTTTCTCTGCTGTAGTCTGCCATCAGAAAGGGTTTTCGTTCATTCTAGTTTCTTTTTACGCCTACTCTGACGAAGGGTACAGGGGCCGAAACCCCCCTCGGTTCGCTCGGCTCGGGGCGATGCTGCAGCAGTGTCGCTTGCCCTGGGTCGTTATCGGGGACTGGAATCTGCCACCCGAGACTCTACAGCGAGTCGGCTTTGTTGACAAGGTAGAAGGAGTCATCTACAAGTGCCCGCTGCAATACACGCGCTCTCTAGGTTCTGGCACTCACATAGACTACGTACTGGCTAGCAGAGCCAGCGTACCGTTTATTTCCCGACTCGAGGCCCGTGTTGATGTTCCGTGGCGCCCGCATTGTGGGCTTGTCCTGGTTATCCGCAGCTCTTGCCAGCAGCTGCTTTGCCGAGAGCTCCGCGTGGCGCCCAAATTGCCGCAGGCCCCGAGGCCGAAGCTCCAGCCACAAGTAGGTTCCAAGTCTAGTATGAAGAAGGCTGCCGACGCTACGAAGCGCTTAGCAGCCCGCGTTGCTACAGACGAATGCTACCAGGAGTTGCGCGGTGATTTGAACGAGGACGATCCTCAATCAAGTCATCCGACTCGGCATTTTTGCGGGGACTCGGACGACGAAGGCGGTTTCCCTGGGGCCCCTCTCCCCCTGGTCTCTCCTGCGGGGCCTTCCTCCTCTGGCGGGGCGCGGGTTTCCACGATGTCCGAGTCCCAAGATTTTGATTTCATTAACGAGCTCGATCAAGAAGCCCACGAGCCACCCTTCGAAGCTGAGGCCCCCCCAGTCCCGCCTGCGGCTAGCGACGCAGGCTGCAGCTCCCCAGGTAGTCAGTCTCCCTCTCTCTCCCCCCCTCCTCTCCCGACGGTCCACATCCCCGACGAGTCCTGGGAAGCCGCCAAGCGGGACGTGGGTTACGTTCCCGTGGGGTCTACACAAGAAGTCTGGCCAGTCATTCGGGATTCTGGAGCCTTCCACGTGGGTCGTGAACGTATTATGAGCGTGAGCGCACTCTATTCGCAGTGGGTGCGCACCGTCGAGCATACCATATGTACACATCATGGAGAGCAGCAGCCCAGTCTTTCACGCTCACAAGGCCCAGTTTTTCGCGAGCGAGTGCTACATATGTTGGATAAGGTTCGATCGGAGCCGCTACGCGGGCAGGTTGCTTGCTGGCGGGGGAGAGTGCATGCGGTACTTCAGAATCTTTGTCATCACTTGACTAAAGGGAATGGGGAAGTACAGCGCCCCCGCCTGGCTGCAGCGTGTCGTGCCTTAGCTTGCGATATTCCAGAGTCAGTCCATCTACCGCTCGCCTCGCTGGATCCTGCCGACGGAGCGTGGTCTCTCTGGCAGTCGAGGCTGATGCACGTGGAGGAGGTCAGCCTCCCGATTTTGCAGACGCTCTGTTCAGTTGCCAAGCGAGTCGCTGGACGTGCCAGGCGGAGGGGCCTTCAAAGCTCACTCAGCGAATTCCGTGAATGGATTTCTTCTCCCGGGGCTCGTGGGGTCCTGCATAAAAAACCTGAAGGCCGTTCCCCCCCCCTTCCTCTGAGATCGAGGTCGGGGGGGAAATGTTTTTTTCACCCTCGGGATGTTTTAGATCAGAAGGCCAAGAAGTGGCATCAGCTTTGGAGCCCAGGCGACGTCTCACTTTAGGCCAGTCATTTGATCGCATTCGCGCAGCTGCCGAAGACGATCAGCTGCCTGTTCTCTCTTGCGACCGAGTGGAAGCCGCGCTCAGCTCTCACCTACAGACATGCAGCGGCTTCCACACGGAGGGCTTCTTCAGTTCGTGCATCTGTTGCAAGCCTGCGAGGCTCGGATTACGTGGCCATGGCAAGTCCTACTGGCCATAGGAAGGTTACTGGGAAAGAAGTCTGGAGGTGACAGGGTGATCGGGCTGATGGCCATGCTCACTAGAGCGTGGTCATCAGCTCGTGAAGAAGATGTTCGCCTCTGGACCTCCTCCTCAGAGCCTGCGTGGGATGCCGCGATCCGAGGTAACTCTGCACTTCGTGAGGCTTTCGTTCGAGCCTTGCAAGACGAAGCTTGTATGCGTTTGGGGATTGAGTTCGGCGCGGGTTTAATCGATGTCGAGGCCTTTTACGACTCGATGTCTTGGGAAGCTCTTGTTGATACCTCTCTACGGTTACAGTTTCCTGCTATTGTTCTCGGATTAGAACTTCAGAATTGTGTCGCCCCGCGTACTCTCGCTCAAGACGGGTGTTTTTCGACCGCCTTCCAGCCTTCGCGGAGCATCGTCCAGGGCATTCGGAGTGGTGTTCGTTTTGGGAGATGCATGGTTTACTTTATTCTGGCTAAAATCACCACGGCGCACGTTGGGGCCTCCATGAGGATTTGGGTCGACGACCCCCGCGTACTCTCGCTCAAGACGGGTGTTTTTCGACCGCCTTCCAGCCTTCGCGGAGCATCGTCCAGGGCATTCGGAGTGGTGTTCGTTTTGGGAGATGCATGGTTTACTTTATTCTGGCTAAAATCACCACGGCGCACGTTGGGGCCTCCATGAGGATTTGGGTCGACGACCTTTACCAGCGGGTGATGGGGTCCAGGAAAGAGGTCCGTGCTCAGCTCTTCGGGTGCCTCCGCGACACTTGTGACGAGCTCGGCAAGGCAGGGCTGAAGGCAGCCTCCAGGAGTGTTTTAGTGTGCTCGCAGTCCAGTGATGGGAAGCTGATTGCAGCCAAGCTCAAGGAGTTGGGCTACACAGTCCACAATGTTTTACAAGCTCAGTACCTTGGCGTGGACCTCGGTGCGGGCCGTCCTGCTCGCTCCTCACGGCGCAAGCGTGTTGTCAAAGCTTCTGTTATGACTGGTAAGGTTCGCAAATTCGCGAGGGCGTCTCGGAGATATCAGGTCACTGGGCGTCTGGAGCGAGCAGGGGCCCAAGCAGCTGGCTCGTATGGGCATCAAGTTCACGGGTCCCTTGGATCTCACCGCGTTGGTTTTCGGCGCCGCCTCGGAGCAGCTCTAGGCTCCAAGCAGAAATGACGGTGCCTTACTACACTTTTGGACTTGAAGGCTCCAGGAGCTGACCCGTTCGTGAAATTCCCCAGGGATACCATGAAGCTCTGGCTCGACACGTGGTTTAGTTTTCCTGATCTTCGTCCCATGGTCCGTCAGGCTTGGCCTCAGGTTGTTCGGCGCCTCCAGAGCATCATCCCGTCCCAGTTCGCTAGACAGGTCCGAGGCCCAATGGGAGCTCGCATTGGGTATTTGCTTGAGGTTGGTTGGACTCCCACGTCTCCCACCGAGTGGACTACGCCAGGGGACGTGGGTGCTCACTGGCTTTTTTCCCGACAGTGGCCTCACAGGTTTCGAGGGCACTTCAGAGGTGCTGGACGAGTTTCAACAATCGTTTCAAGACGCCGCTTGGGCGAAGGCAGCGCAGCACTACTGTGGCGAGGGTTCTTCCCAGGGAGTCGACAACGCCAGTTACCGTCGGTTCCTTCGGAGTCTCCAGGGCAGCAAGCACGGGCATCGCCTTTCGGAAACGATGATCAACGTGGCTACTGGGGGTTTCTGGCCTCGGCAAAGGGTAGACGACGAAACTCGACATCGTCTTAGTCCAGATTGCCCGAGGTGCAAGGAGCAGCCCGAGACACCACTACATCGGTTTTGGCTATGCCGCTGCAACAGTGCGGAGCACAAGGCTTTCAAGCAGTCCGAGGATCTAGTTCCTCGCGCAGTCTCTTGCGGCGAGAGCGAGGCATGTTTTTGGTTCCGAGGGCTCACCCCTCGCGCCTGGACGGCCGTGCCCCCAGCTAGTACCGAGCCTCAGCGGGTCACTGTTGGGGGGAACGAGCCGCCAGAGTTGAACGACACTACGTTGGGAGAGGGACGTATTGGGGAACCAGTCATTATCTTTGGAGATGCTTCTCAAGGCCCAGATGCTCGGGAACCAGCTTTCAGGCGCGTATGGGGTTGCAGCTGTTACCTTGGCATCGTACGATCCTCCAGTCGTCCGTGCAGGAGTTTTAGGCCCTCTCCCAGGTAGGAAGCAAACAGTGCCCCGTGGAGAACTTCAAGGGCTTATGTTGGCTCTCTTGTACTCCAGAGGCCCTTTGGTTTACGTCACTGATGCGTCAGGAGTTTGCGATGGTTGGTATAATGGGTTTCACGAGAGACCCGCTGGGGAGAGCATGGGGGCTTGGGATGCCATTCGGTCTATTATCCAGAGTACGGAGCGTGACACGTCACTTATCTCTGTCCTCAAAGTCGACTCCCACCTCTCCCCAGCCCAGATTATTCAGCAGAATGTTCCGAGGTTTCTGGTCGTAGGCAACACGGTTGCCGACGAATTTGCAGGTGTTGCGGCACAGCGATGTCGCCTGGACAGCACCCATCGGGCCCGCGTCGTTCGGGTCGAAAGAGATGCTTTGCTCGTTCGGCGCAGACTGTTGTGAGTCGCCCTGGAGGTTTTCAGCTCGGATTCACAGGCGCAGCAGCCTCGACATCGGGGCGAGCGGCGTGGCGGCGGAGGCGCCCAGGACGGGGGCGTCGTGGAGCTGCCCCTGCCGCCTCCTCTCCCTCCTCCTCCCTCCCCTGCCGCCCTGTCCGTTTTCCATTCGTCCCACCGCCTAGGGCCTAGTGGTCGTTTCTGCTTGCGCTGTAAGGGGTCTGCCTCGGTCGACACTGCCACTGAGTGGCGATCTACCCCTTGTTTTGATCTCGTTCCTGGGAGCTCCAATGTCTTGCATCTGCCCGCTGGTCAACCCTTGCATCTTTGTGGGGGCTGGGTGGGGTCGTCTCACAAGATGGCTTTTCACAACGACTTGGGGGTGTGGCATTGTACAACGTGTGGCTTCTTTTGTAACGAGCACTTATCCCAAGGTTTGAAAGCGTCTTGCACTGGGCTGCTTAACCCCACCAGAAGAGAATTTCTCCGAAGGTTGGCACGTGGGTTGTGGCCTAAGGCGCTCACCCGAGCTCAACAGGCAGCACGGGCCTCGGGTGGCTAGTGACTCGGATCACCTCGTGATGGCGTCCACTCCACTCCACTCCTCCTCCTCCTCCTCCTCCTCCTCCTGCGACCGACTGCGCGCCAGTTCCCCGCCGGCCCCCTTGCCTGTGCGGTGCACTCTGCGAGGCCCGCGCCGTCAAAACGGCGACCAAGAGACTCGGCGGCGCCGGGCGGCCACGGGCCGGGCCGGAGCGGCACGCGGGGCCAGACGGGTGGCGGCGAGGGGCGGGCGCAAGCCGGCAGTGCTGGCGGCGGCGGCGATGGGGCGGCCGCAGGCACATCATCATCAGCAGCAACATCAGCATCAGCATCAGCATCATCATCAGCATCAGGATCATAAGCATCAGCATAAGCATCATCATCATCATCATCATCATCATCATAAGCATCAGCATCAGCATCAGCATCAGCATCAGCATTTGCATCATTATAAGCATCAGCATCATCAGCATCAGCATCATCATCATCATCATCACCATCGTCATCCTCATCATAAACATCATCAACATCATCATAATCAGCATCATCATCAGTGGCGACGATGGTCAGCGAGCGCGCACCACTACTTGCAAACTCCTACTCGCAAGCTTTCGAAAAAGAAACACATGTACGGTAGGTTTGCGTTCGAAAAAGGAGCACATGGACGAGGCGGCAGCGGCCGATCGTTCAAGGCTGAACGATCCCTGCGGTGTCAAAAACCAACGCTGGGGTCGGCACGACACGAACCTGCCGCACATGTATTCCTCGATCGTATACTCGTGCGGCGGATCCGGGCCATTCGCGGGTGGTTACGCTGCGAGTAGTGGAACGCGCTGGTTTAGATGGGGCGGCCACGGGCCTGCCCGGGCGTCACACCAGCCCAGTTCCTTTCTACTGCGCGTGAGAGTGACCACTCGCCAGAGTGACCTTTGGTGCTGGCCCCCCTCGGGCCGGGCGAAAGGGGGGGATTGGGAAAGGGGGGGGGTTACTAAAAGTTGGCTTGCATGCAGCTGGTTTCGGTTCACGAGGGGCCCATTCCTCGACACATAGCCGCCTCTGGCGCGGGGGAGGCGCCGCGGAAAATCAGCTTACGTGCAGCTGATGCTCAAACCCCCACTTTGCTATCCTCACCCTTTTTCGCCGACCCGACCCCCGGGGGTCCCCCGATCGCCGCGCGCGATGCGACAGCGGCGGCCTGCGCGCTCGGGGTTGGCCCCCCCCGCGACCCCCCGAAACGCCGCGCACCAGAGGTCACTCCCACCGAGGGTCACTCTTGCGTGTACACCTCAGGCGATGCTTAAGAAAACTCACGTTTTCGGCCAGCGTCTCGACTATTCTTCACGTTTCAGTGTAAATCCTAAGTTTTTAATAGAGATGTTGGGTTTTTATTCAAGATCTGAGACTATGAATTTCTCAACCCGTGATTTCTTAATCATTTCTCAGGGTGTCGCCGACAGACGGGCGGCGGCGATGGGGCGGCCTCCAGCCGGCCAGGGCGGCACACCAGCCCAGTTCCCTGAAGGACCAGCAAGACACCCTAAGTGCAAGGGCTGCTTGGGGGAACGGCGTCGCCCTTTCATCTTGGGGCCGGAGGGGGCGGGAGGGAGGAGATTCTATCCCCCCCCCCGTGCGCTTTCCGCGCCCGCCCGGCCAGATCTTCTGGGAGCGCGAGGGCTTCTCGAGGGCGGAGCTCATGGAGTTGGACGAGGCGTTCAACAAGGACGGCTTCCCCGCCAAGGGAGAGAAGAGCGGGTACGAGGACGAGGAGAATGACGAGCGACGCGGGGGGGAGGGAGGGAGGAGAACGACGAGCAATATCGGAATGACGAGGACGAGGAGAGTGAGGATGAAGATGATGACGCGGAGGAGGAACAATAGGCAGGAGGAGGACAGGGGGGGAGAGGACGATCGGGCAGGCGGGGGAGATCTGAGTGGCTTCAGTGTGTAGGGATGGGCCCCCCAGGAGGGCTAGGCAAGGGGGAGTGGCGAGGGCAGCGCCAAGGGGCGACATCGACCCGGGGGGAGGGGCAGGGGGAGGGGAAGGCGCGGGAGTTGGGAAGGTCGGGCCGGGCGAAAGGGGGGGGGATTGGGAAAGGGGGGGTTACGAAATTTGCTGCATGCAGCTGGTTTCGGTCTCACCGAGGGGCCCGTTCCTCGATACATAGCCGCCTCCGGCGCCGGGAGGCGCCGGGAAAATCAGCCACGTGAGCCGACTCTCAAACCCCCCCTTTGCTATCCCCCCCTTTCGCCCGGCCCGAGGTCGTCGCCGTCTCTGTCGTCGTCGCTCGAGGTCGTCGAGTCTCGAGGTCGTCGCTCGAGGTCGTCGCCGTCTCCGTGGCCGTCGCCGCCGCCGCCGCCGTCGCCGCCGCCCCGCTGGCGCGCCGCAAGTACGACACGGACCAGAGCGGCACCATCGACACCGCGGAGCTCGGCGGCCTGCTGGCCGGCCTGGGGCACCGGGCGGGCCGCGCCCGCCGCCCTGGTCTCGGGGGCGGAAAAGAGGGGGGTGATGACTAGGGGGGGGTGGATATCATGGCGGGGGCCATGATATTTCCCCAGATCTCGTGGCGCCTCTTCTTATTTCATCACGTCCCTGGCCCCCCCGCTGGGCCGCGCACGTGCCGCGGGTCATGATTTGCACCCCCCCCCTCTTGGACACCCCCCTCTTGGCCGCTCCCGATGGTCCGCCGCCGTCGCCGCAGGGGGCAGCTGGCAGCGGTAGGGGTCGAGCAGTGGCGAAGCGTCCCGACTTGCCTGCATCCGAGGCCAGCAATGACATAGATGTGATAGCTCTTGCCAGTTTGAAACATGTCCCTATCCCTATGCTTGACATCACCTCACCTCGATGCCGATCTGAAGGATTCCCTCAGTTTCTGAGGGCGTATCCCTAAGATTGTCCTCGTTTTTTGCTCGCCCATCTTAGGGATAGGGATACGTTCGAGGCTGGTGAAACTCGGAGGTCCGCGCGGATTTTTCGGATCGGCGCTGGGGCCCCCCGCGGCGGCGCCTCCGGCGCCGCCCCTGGCGCGCTCCGCGCGCACGGAGGGGGGTCCAGCGCGGATCCAAGAAATCCGCGCGGACCTCCAATTTTTTATGTTTATGCATTTTTCGTTCCCCTAAAGACGGCAAGAACATAACCTTGCTTAACATCTAAGATCTATGCCCCCCAGATGGGGTCGGAGTAGAGGGGTCGGAGCGTCGCGCCGCATCGCCGATGCATCGCCGATGCATCGGCGATGCGTCTCGATGTGGAACCCGATGTTCTTCACGCCGACGTATCGCCGATGCATCGCCGATGCACCGGCAATGCATCGGCGATGCATCGACGATGCGGTGCAATTTTCAGACCTCATTTGCTCGGACCCCATCTAGGCGGCCTCTGGAAGAACAACAACTGCCTAAACATGACATCTGCCGAGGTCTGCGCGGATTTCTCTGCTCTTCGCTGGGCCCCCTGGAGGCCTGGAGGCGCCTCTGGCGCCGACCCTGGCGCGCTCCGCACGCCATGGAGGGGGTGTCCGCAGGCGTGTAGGTCTCTTTGCAACCAGAGCCGCACTTTGCAACCATGTGTGGCACTTTACAACCAGCGTGGGTTTCCCAGAACGCTCACTTTATAACCAGAAAGGTGGCTCTGCAACCGCACAACAGGAATCCGATTGTACGGCATCAACCTTATAGTTCCAGTCCTCGTGGGCAATGGTAAGGCGCGCACCTCGCTATCTCCAGCGTATTGGTTGAAATAAGACTCGTCTGCGTGAGCGAGTCACAAAGCCGTGGTTCTTGTCGCAGCAGTCGCAGTAGTAGTAGTAGTAGTAGTAGTAGTAGTAGTAGTAGTAGTAGTAGTAGTAGTAGTAGTAGTAGTAGTAGTAGTAGTATTAGTAGTAGTAGTAGTAGTAGTAGTAGTTAGTAGTAGTACTTCTAGTAGCTAGTAGTGTTAGTAGTAGTAGTAGTGGATTAGCGTAATAGGTGTAGTATCAGTGTAATTAGTTGTAGCGGTAGGTAGCGAAAGTAGTCTAGTAGTAGTAGTATGTAGTAGTAGTAGTAGTAAGTAGTTAGTAGTTAGTAGTAGTAGTAATAGTAAGTAGTAGTAGTAGTAGTAGAGTAGTCGTAGTAGTAGTAGTAGTAGTAGTAGTAGTAGTAGTAAGTAGTTGTAGTAGTAGTAGTAGTAGTAGTAGCAGTAGTAGTAGTAGCAGTAGTAGTAGTAGTAGTAGTAGTAGTAGTAGTAGTAGTAGTAGTGGTAGTAGTAGTCGTAGTAGTAGTAGTCGTAGTAGTCGTAGCAGCAGCAACAGCAGCAGCAGCAGTAGTAGTAGTAGTAGTAGTAGTAGTAGTAGTAGTAGTAGTAGCAGTAGCAGTAGCAGTAGTAGTAGTAGTAGTAGTAGTAGTAGTAGTAGTAGTAGTAGTAGTAGTAGGGTTGCACCTGGTCTTCGTGTCGCTACAAACCTCACCTTCGTGTACTTTTCTTTTGTATCAGGCCTAATAGAACTCCCACCAGGGGAATTACGAAAACAGTAGTTTCAAACCTGGCCTTCGTGTCTTTCGCGCCAATGCCTACCTTCGTGCACTATTTGCTGTAGAGGCTGTAGATGGGATTCGTATTAGAAAGTTAACAAAAAAACGACAGTTTTACACCTGTCCTTCGTGTCGACGTCGGATTTGGAGCAACCGCCACTGCCAGCCGCTTCATT